AGCTGCTGTTCCCGCCTCGCCAGGGCCGGGCTCAGCCCGCCGCCGCCGCTGGTAACGCTGCGGTGCGCCGCGGGCGGCTCCGCCAAGGTAAAGTCACCACGGGGCACCCGCTTGATTCTGTGGTTCACTGTGCTTTCAGCATTGATTTTGGGGGGGAAGACGGGAGGCAAAAAGATTTAATGAATTTGTGCTATTCTTTGTTTTGTTTTACAATTTGAATTGACTCAAGGAGAAGAGGAAGTGAAGGCCTCGCATGTAATTCATTTTTACACTGCGGGAGATTATTAAATCATGTTTCTGCTGGATTTCTGGAGGAAAACGGTGTGTCCAAGATTGTGAATGTGAGCTTTCCATACAAAGCCTCATTTACAGCTTTTTTTCCACAGCTTAATTTCCAGGTCAATTTCTTTAGCCTCATTACAAAATATGAGGTAATGTTTCAGATTTGTTTTTATGCTTTGGTTTGTCCAGAAGCTGAATCTTTGCTTAAATGAAGTTAATAAAATTGGCTTTCTAGCAGAAATATTATATCATAATTAAATGTAAAATAAGTAGTTTTCTTTATTAAGTTGTACATTATTCAGTACATGATGGTACAGGGTAGTCCCAACAATATCAGCTGCAGTGGTGCTTCCTTAACCTCTCGCTTCAGTACCATTCAGAAATTGCCTGGCGTGAGAGCCTGACTGAACTGAAATGTACTCAAACAGGGAGAACAATCTATTTTTCAGTCCTCATGATTCATCCTGCAAGCCTGGCTGTAAGACCCAGAGTTCCTCTGAGGCTTATGTATGTAGGTTGTCAGCACCTGTTTTCATGGCAGCTATCTGAAGAAAATCATGTTTGACTCCTTAAATAGATAATGATCATCTTTGGATAGAAGAAAAAACACCATAAGCTATAAAACTTAAAAAATACCATTCAAACCAGGCTTAGCTTTTAAGAAAATCACACTGCTGAACAAATGGGTATTATTTACTAAGCGTTTATGTTGTTTGAATTGTTAGGACAGCTTTGGGCAGGTGTTTTTGAGACTACTTTGTTCAGTCTATTCAGCTAGGTTCACTCAAAAACTCAGTATTTAAATTTTATAGACTGGGAGTTAAAACAGCTTTCTTCCCTCCCAACTCCCACTTGCCTATAATAAAACTGAAGTGTGAGAGAGTGGGTTCTGAAATGTGGTCAAGTAGCAACCATGTAGTACAGCCTTACATAGAATCTAGTTACTTCCAGTGACTGAAAGTAATTAGATTATCTAACTATGAATCCATTATTTTGCTTAATGAGCTTGCTTAAAACAATATCTGTTCAAACTTTGTTTTCTCGTTTACCATGTAGTGTTAAAAGTGCTTTGCTTAAACAATAAAGGATTTCTTTTTCCACTGGATGTTTTTCTTAGTCAACTTTCAGTTTCTACTCAAATATTACTTTGGCTCATGAGCCAAAAAAATAAATCTAGCACTATCAATTGTGTGAACATTTTAAAAATACAGGAATCAGAGTTAGTTGAGCTACACAATTCCCTAAATACATATTTATGTATGATTTCCTGTCAAAATGAAATACAAAGTAACACAAATTATGATGAAAAAGAGAAGCAAATATGGGTTTGGGGGAAGTTTGTGGGGTGGTGTGGCTGGCATGGTTAAAATCCCCGAATAAAGTGAATTCATCCTACCATGAGTGTTGTAAGAGGAGCCTGTCCTGTATCTGAATTTACAATCTTGCCAAGTCCAAGGATTAATCACAGATATTTTTCTTCCTATGTAAGTGCCTTGAAGCTGATTTACTGTAGGGACAAAGGTGCCAGGCAGTGGGTAAGCTGTACCTGTCCCAGGGGCCACAGTGGCCTTTAGCCTGGCTGTCCTATTGTCATGACTGCTGCTGAATTCAGCTGAAAAGAAAGGAGTCGTCTAATTTTTCCTGACAACCACTCGCTAATTAGAGAAAAACCCTGATGTCTTTGTGGTAACATATTGTTTCTCCAGTTAATATTTCTTCCATGCAACGTAAGAAGAAGAACCCAAAGGCTGTCTTACTGCCAGCAGCATACATGCCCTTCTTTTTTCTTGCATTGCATTATCACTTTGGTTTGGGGTATATTTTAGTTAGAAGTTCTGCACTCTATAGTACCTCGATTAAAAAACTGTCGACAAATTTTACTAAGACAAACTTTTTCAGTGAAATTAGGCTGTTTACACCAGCACTGGTGCATCTGTGTAGCTACTGTCTGTGCTGTGGCAACAGTATGGCTCGTTATTAACAGTAGCAGTTCCCTAGTTCCTTGTTTTTTTCAGCTGATGTAGAGAGAATGAGTTCTAGGAGCTGAAATGCTGGCTCTCTGCTGTCAGTAAGCTGTTAGTAAGCCAGGATCTGTGTGGGGCCGTGCAGGCTCCCAGTGCCATCAGCCACTCAGCCCCTTCACACAAAGCGGCGTTACAAGAACTCACTCTGTGAAGCTGAGCAGTGGGTGTAAGCAGAGATCCCTTGGGCACCTCAGCCTGTCTCTCAGCTGTGTGGGTGTGCCTTGGCACACGCTGGGGTCAGATGGAAGACTGGGACTATAACAACTCTTTTCAGTTACGAAACTCACGTTGTGTAGGAACTTGCACCAAGCTCAGTGCAGCTCTTTGATGCCCTGGGTTGGGAGAAGGAAGCTAGCACGGGCTGTGCCACAGGCATCTGCTGTCCTGATGTGAAATAGCAAGTGTTACAATCTTCCCAAAGCACCGTGAACAGCACTGTATGCAAGCCACAGCTTTCATTATTTCACAGAATCTCTTTGGCTGGAAGAGACCTTTAAGATCATCATGTCCTGCAGTTAACCCAGCACTGCCAGATTGGTTCAGGTGGCTGGAATGTGATGCTGTGCTTAACACTATTAAGTACTTTTTGTTTTCTTTTTAGGATGCACATGGATCCCCTGAAAAGGCAATCACAGATCACAGTGGTGAAAAAAAGAAACTCAACAAATCCCAGCAGCTGAAACAAGTTTTTAAAGAATATGGTGCTGTAGGAGTTTCATTCCATGTTGGAATTTCGTTAATATCTCTAGGAATCTTCTACCTGGCTGTGTCAAGGTGAGGTTTGTACAATTATCTGTAGCCTCTAGGCAATGGTTCAGCCAAGAATAGATCTCTTACTATTGTGCTTATTTCAGAAAGGAGAGGTATTCTGGGTCTGTTTGATCTATACACAATAACCTTCTGATCTTTGAGTGTAGATGGATCCATATACAGACCTAATCTCCCGTCAGGCATGACAAAAGATAGATGTACATGGGCATTTTGCACAGGTCCACAGTCCATGGTGGGCAGATAAAAACAGCAGAGTAGAAACTACCCAGAGTAACCAAATGAGAGAATTTTTTGTTCTGCAGAGATATCTTTTGTTCTCAAGCAGTACTGTGGTCTGCAGAGATAGAGATATACAAAAGAGCTGGAGCTTAGAGATAAATTTACTCATTTTCTGCAGCTTAACTACACAGGCAATGGCCACTAAAACAGGATTAGATTTAAAAAAAAAAAAAAAAAAAAAAAAAAAAAACCTAGGTAACCACATAGCAGTCAGGTGGGAAATGGTGTATGTGGCTTCTGGTAGGAATTCATCAGTTATGTCTGTTGAGTATGAGGTATTTCAACTGAGGGGATAGGGAAACACATTGTTTCACAAAATATTCCCTGCTACTTACTCTTCAGTTCAGTGGGAATATGTAAATGCCTGAGTTCTCTCATTTACTACATTGTGGCACAGTATGATTTTTTCCTTCAGATATAATTTAACTTCAGGACAAGATACTATCCTGGCAAGTGAAGGGGGAAAAGTTACAGTAACAGTTTCATTTGGAAATTACTCCAAACATAGGAACCTTGATGAAAGCTGCTATGTCCATAGAGAATTAAAATATTCATGGATTTGGTAGATAATGCTCATTTGAGATCCTTAATACTTCCTTTACTTGCTAGATATTTTAGATACTTGTCATTTTAACAGCTTTCTACTCCTCTGTTAGAACACTCTTAAGACTAACAACAGGTACGTGATTTGGTTTCATCTATATTTAGATGATAACTTTCATCAAGACACAAATAGGTTTTACTATAAATATTGGGAAGGTGAATTTCCAACCCAAATTCACAAAATTCTAACTCTTTTTTAAAGTTCAAAAGTAGAGAGGTAGACTACTTTATCTGCAAATGTTGAGCATGGGGCTGAGTATTCTCCAAAGTGCTGCGCCTATACAGTTGTCAAACTAAGAACATATTTGATTTCACAGGGAACTGTCAATTTAAGAAAATAAAATGCATCTGAAAAATATTGCATGTGGTGTTGTTGCTGCAGAAGTAACTTAAGCTGTTACTGCTGAAATAATTAATTGGTTTTATTATTTAACAACATGCAATTTGAACACGAGTTCTGGAGTTGGAAGCGTGCCGTGTTAAATTCCCTGAAAAAATAGCACTGTAACGTTTTTTAGCCTGCAACCTTCAAATAAGCCAGAGGACTCCTGTTTTCTGTTTCCCCAGTGGTGTGGACATGCCCGCAGTTCTCTTCAAGCTGGGTTTCAGCGAGTCCTCGCTGCAGTCCAGCCTGGCTGCTGGGCCCAGCCGCTTCCTGCTGGCCTATGCCGCTCACAAGCTGTTCGCCCCGCTGCGGGTCAGCATCACCCTCGTCTCCGTGCCGCTCCTCGTGCGCTACTGCCGCAAGATGGGCTTCTTCAAACCTCCCGCCCCAAACCCATGACTTCTTACTGGGCTTTATCTTTTTTTTTTATTTTTTTTTTTATTAAATGCTCTATATCCATGTAGCTTTTCAGATTGATAAATTTATTTTAAAAAAAAAAACCTCACTTGGATTCATGTTAATGCTGACCTGCTCTTGGAGTTCTTCCGTGTCCTTTCAGGTAAATGTGACACTGTGAAGATCTGTCCTGAACTTCTTCCCTTTTGCCACCTCTTCTTTAGAAAAACCTGTGAAAATGGTTTCTGTCTCTTCCACTGCAAGTGGTAACATAAATGCTTGCCAACAAACAGTCTTTTTAGAACACACAATTCTGGGTCTTTATAATTTTGCTTTTTGTTACTTATTTTTTTTTTCTCTGTCAAAATAGAGTGACAGCATTAGTTTATTACTGTGTAGTTAGGAAACAGAGCAAGTTTCTTCCTAATAGTGTGTGGAATAAACAATATCCTACTATATGAATAGTTCTTTTACTAAGTGTGTGTATTGGAATCTAAGGTGGTAGGCAGGTGTTCCTTTTGTTACCAAAGGCATGTATTCTGACCCCAGCCTTGCAGTGCAACACATGCTGAACTAACCTAAGTGGGAATACCCATGGGCTGAATTATCACACAGTGATAAATGTTTTAGCCAGAATAGGTGATGCACTATTTTGAAACTGCAGTTCCTTTGTGGTGCTTCCATGTTTCAAAATGTGCATTATTTATAGGCTAGGAACTGGCCTTACTAAAGTCCTTTAATTTTTTTTTTATGCTTATAGACTCAGAAGGAATCCTGAGTCTGAAATCAGTGTGGCCAGAGTTACCTCTTATGTGAACACATTCCAAAGACCATCAAGTCAGAAGGAAAGTATTTGTGGGTTTTTAATGGATTGAGATCTGGCTTTGAACTGGAAATATTTTTCTTTATCTGAAAACTAACTCTAGCAGCTTCCTGTTCCTGTGAATGAAACTCAAATCTGCACCTGAAGTCCAGACATTACAATTCATAGCTTCTCAAAAGCAATTCCTGTGATTTTGTCTCACAGACTGGTGAATGTACTACTCCAATGTACAAAGAGGTCTGCTTACCAATCTGGGGTAAACCTGAGTTTTGGACTCAAGACTTTATGAAACTGATAGATCTGGCTCAAGCTGTCTTGGTGACCTGTTTCTCCTTCCATGTCTGCTCTTTTTACATTGTCTATTTCTGTGCTTACACTTACCCCAAGAGGACTCTGGCACAGGTCTGTTCATAGAGGAATCTGACTGGAGTTAAAGAGCAAGAAATTACACTGGTGTTCAGAGTGACTTTTATTTTTCCCACTGAAATTCAGTGACTCGAGGGGAAAGAATCATGATTGGGATGAGAGTTGGCTGAGGGAGGGAAGGAGGAGCAAGTAATTTATTAGCAACCTATTAACTCCACTTAGCCATTACATTCAATTGCACCCTTCTTCAGAAAGTCCAACCCCTAGGCTGGTTGGATGCACTGAAGCTTATTTGGCTCTCAAGAGAGTGAGTGGAGGTTGTGCTCTAGAAAGGGGAATCACAGCCACATACATCCTTGTACCTCTATTACAGATACCCCTTGGTTAATCAGATGCTTTCGCCAAGACAGGGAAAAGTGGAAGGCAGTGCAGTTCCTCTACCCTGTGGAAACAAGGTGATGATAGAGTCTGCCACCTGAAAACAGGAAACCCTTGGCAAGGGCTTGGCCTCAGTGCAGTTAGGCCAGATGAAGGTGTAGTGTCTTACAATGACAACAGCAGTGAGCAGGTACACACACCAAGGCTCAATGTACGACAGCAGCATAGCTGTATAGCATATGGAAAGATGCATTGCACAGTTAAGCAATGCTCAAAATACCAACCTTAGGAGTAGGATGTACCAAGAATCAGCCTTGCATTGTGACCTCCTTCCATGGGAGCTGTGTCACTAACTGCTTATGCCATAGACAGCTGCTTGGCTTGCTTGTCAGGCCATGGAGCCAATGCTCTCTGCTGCTTCGTGTGCAGGAGGAAGGGCTGTCAAGTTCATTGGCACTAGTTGCCTACAAAAAGAAAGATTCATTTTTACTGTCTCCTGCCTGTTTTGCAGTATAGCAGCTTCTCCAGTGTACTGGCTTCAGCTTGCTGCCAGAGCCAGCTCTGATGAGAGCCTAAGCTTCAAACGAGCTTGTCCCTCAAGGAAGCTCTGCCTTCACCCTTGACTAGTCTGTGTGATCATTATACCTGTCATGTGCATGGAAAGGTTCAGTAGATAAAAACTGCGCTATCTACATAACAGTTAGAGGGTGATCTTAGTATGACAACATGCAACCAACACCACAGTAGCTTTCTATGACCCATTATATTCTGGAACAGCTAGTCTCTTAAATTTCTTTAAATATTTTTTTTCACATTTCTTATGAGTTTTACTTGGGCTTATTTTTTTCCTGTTCACAG